GGAGAAATATGGCGGAGGACTGGACAGAAAATTTAGCTGGATCACATCTGCCGGATTACCACGACGACTGATGACCTAATCTTTTTTTCGTGAAATTCGCTGGGCGATTGCCTCGGTGGTTCGTGCGGCATTCAGCACTGTCCGGGACGCTCCTGCTTGTCATGAACTTTTCATCACAGGTGACAGTTCGGTTTAAAAAACGGGTCGTTTCTGTTGTGCAAGGCAGTGAAGAAGAAACCTCGAGACGTGCCATTTCTGGCGGTCACTCAAATGGTGGGGCACCCACTTGTTGAGTTTTTTCACCTTCCCAACGCGTTTTAGACCATCCGCAACAGTGGATTTGCCAACGCCTAGCTTTTTTGTAACCTCTCAAGGGCTGCTTGATGGGTCAGCAGCCACGAGGCCTTCGAATCTCGTTAGGATATTGCTAGGTCGACCGCTGCGAGAGTTCACCTTTCCAAGGATGAAATCCGCGGAAAAGATTGTCTCGAAAACAATTGTCGGCACGTGCTTTCTCCAACACTATGGGCCCCACACCTGGTTAATTTGTCGAGCTGTCTCGACTGCGGATTGACCCAATTTGTAGTTGAAGAAAAATATCGTCCGAAGTTGCTCTTTTGACATGCTTCAAAAGTCTTGGAAAAGGGGGATTTATGCAAAGCAATGGTGTGAAACGGCAACTGTACCATCAGATAGCGAGGAAAATTCTCTTCAGGATTTACTACTGAGACGCAAGGCAGAATGAGTTTTTGAATCAGCAATGAATGTACGAAGAAATAGTAACACAAAACGCTGAGAACTTTCCGGACAGCCTAATAGAAAAAGGAGCCGGGCAAGGCTAACTTTCACCTCTTTTACCAGCGCCCTGACTGATTGCGACGACATGAACTATAAAGGAATGGAAGTATACCTAATGCACTGAGATCTTACTTACCATAATGGCAACCTGTTTGCAGATGCGAAAAGACAAAACCATATTAACCTATGTGACTCTTAAACCATATACTATATCGCTTACACAGCGTCAGCAGGAGGTCGTACTCAAGATCGCCGGTGATAAATCGAACATTGAATTGTTGAAGTAAATTTAGAATTCGTAAGACTCAGTTTTTCTCGACCAAACCTTCATCCCGTCTTTGCGACATGACACTGTATGTAGACCATTTTAGAAATCCCTTTTAGAAATTGACTCCGAAGGTTCAAAAGGCCGTCATGAGAAGACGTTCTGTGTTTGATCAAACAATATGTTCTGTATAAATAAAGTTTCGTTTGCAGTTGGATGTGTTAGTGTAAAGACCGACTCCACATCAGAAACGATGCGAATTTTCTACTTAACTTGGGTTCTTCATTTTCCAAGTCATATAACTTTCGTCGTACATAGCGTGTGGCGGAAAGCTGCACGATTGTATGGACTGAGAAAAATTTTCTCTTCCTAATCAGTTTGAATATTCTGTTTCAGCTGCACTACTGTGAAAATTCGCTTGTCGCGGGAAATGGCAAAATACCGAGTAAAACTTATACGAAAGCGAATTTTTTATCTTTCAACCAGTCGGAGCGCCCGGTTGACGCCGAACTTTCCTCCTTCCCTTCGCCGGGCTCACCTGGCCTCGCCAGGCGCACATCATAACGGATTGGAATTTGTTAATTGCCTGAGCTGCTCATATTGCGCGGTAGTGGTCGAATCATAATAGACAGAGCAACCTAGCGGATTCTGCACTCCTCAGTCCACCCTGATATTTGCGGAAGGCGTGTTGGTTTCGGCCATAACGCCCATTCTATACTTAGATCATAGAAATAGATAGGAAAACAGTCGGCCATGAGCGCAATATAAATATGAGTTGCACAGTAGATGAACAAATTCCGTTTTTATTACCTGCATCACAACGCCAACGATGAGCGATTAACTTGTCATTAACATGCAATCCACCTGCTATGGTTGCATGAATGGCTGCAGATGACAATATGTTCATTGAATATCTTACAAACTACTTCGTTATTCGTTCTCATCAGTGATTAAAAGTTGAAAAGCAAAAAATAGTCAAATAGTCACTGAACGCACAAAGTGTGCTCCAATATTCAGGTTTTTGGTTTTTCAAAACATCCTGTTTCAAACGAAGTACACACCTCCCCTCGCTCGCCTTTAACGTTATACATAGTAGGATAGTGGGATGAGTTCATTTTCTAGTGCTATCAGAGAAGAGATGGCTGGAGGGAAAGTTTGCTCACCACAAAGGCTTTTTACTGGCCTTATCAATTGATAAAATTGCTTGTCACCCGTCATCAATGTCGCTATCACTAAAACTCCATAATTTCGTGGTGTAGAGGCTCCAGCATTTGATTGAACAACAACTGCATCGTTCTCTATCAGGCCCTATCAGCTGTTATCATTTCCTGTCACCCGCCGTCGCCTTCTCCACCTTCCCCTTGATATCATTTGCTGAAATCAACGCCTAACTGATGCTGTGTCCCGCGTTATGAGTATGTTGTCCTTTCCACTCTAATCCCCTTATCAGCAGCTAGCAGTTCTTGTCACCCACATATTCCTGTGCCATAACCTATATCATACCTTGGAACAAACGCCCCAGTGTTCCAGTCGGACCGCCCCTCTGCTTCCTTCCCTTGCACATGCTCAGATCCGGCTGAGCACGCGCAGGGGAAGGAAGCAGAGGGGGGCACTCGGCGTCCCCCCCCCCTCCTCGGCTCCACCCCACCCTGCCCCCGCACGAGCACACGTCCAGCTGCCAGCAGCTCGTGCAATGGCTCGGAGTGTACCGAATGGTTGTCTTATATAGCGGAGGCCGTTATCACAATCAAAACATTGGATTGATACTTCCGCACCGATCGGTTACCTGTTTGCGGAAGGACATACATACATACATACATACATACATACATACAAACCGACACCCAAAGTTACTGGTTTATAGAATAGAAGGATAGAAACGTCGTTGTTCAGAAGAACGTGAAGCAGGAACCTGTACGATCTCGAATCTAGAACCCATTCTATCTGCAATGAGCACAACAATTCTATTGCAGTTTACTGCAGCGAAAACGCCCGCAGCGGAAATCGCTTTTAAAGTTTGCTTCAAGGCGAAGAAAAATGGTCCACCAACTGCACTAATCGCACTTATATGTGCAGGGTGACCAAAAAGTTCTGCAATTTTCGGAATACTTCGGTAGCATAAAAAATACCGTTCGAAAAAGGAAATCAGCCAACTAAACGTCTGGGAGTCTTCATCTAATCAGTACTAATGACCGCATACAACAAAGTTCCAACAAATGTTCAAAAATGTCCTCAGCCTCAACACATTTACGTAGTCGTTTTCCAAAGTCCGACAATGGTCGCGCATTCTTCTGCTGTAGTTTGGTCCCAAACACGCAGCAACGCCACTTTCAGGTGGTAAACCGTTGCGCATCGAATTCCTGAGATTTTTCGACCCAGATGGAATAATCCATGGGGTTCGGACCATGCTAGTTGGGAGGCCAAACGTCCTTGCCCCAAAATCGGGAAGCAGCTCTTCACAAGCGGCAGTTCGTGGGTTTGGCAGGATGTGCTGGCTCCCAGTCTTGCTGAAGCACGTGTCCATCCGGGCCGAAGTGCTACGACACCCATGGCTTCAGTACATCGCGGAGAACGCGTTGTTGGGAGTAGACAGCATTAATCTTTACGATGCGCTCGATGAAGAAATGAGAGGTCTTCCCGGTGGCACAGATCCCGCCTCAGACCGTGACTGAGGCTGGAAAGAGTCTGCGTCCGACGGATTTCACAGCCGTTGCCTTCTGTTGACCTTTTCTGAGGAGCAGACAACAATTCCGGTAGTTGTGATCGAAAATTTTTCTCGTCGGTGGCGAGCACATTCTTCAAGCAACAAGCACCGACCAGAAGATGGGTTTCAACAACTGCAACTTTTTGATTTTTTCGAGACAGTGCGAGGAGAAATCGAAAGTGATTGGATAGATGACTCGTACGGTAGTTCGAAATGGCTTGCGGAATACAAATAACCCATCGGAGAGAAAACAGACCATAATGGCCATTCAAAACGCACCCGCGGCTCACGAATGCGAGGTCCCTGCTTCTGTTTTTTTCCATTGGTTCTACTGGGCCCCACAAACACGAAAAATTGCCAGAAGTTTTTGGTCACCCTGTATTAGAAAACGGAAACTTCGTAAGACTCTTACTACACCTACCCTATTGCTGTGGATAGAAAGTGAAGGCCAAAGGCGCTCTCATGCATCTCTATGAAGCGCGCCACGCACTCGTTTCTCATTCAGAATCGTGGCGACGTGAAAATATAAGCCTATGGAGTCTCGATCGACTCAACGCAGCCGGAACAGCCTCTTGTGCTAGCTAATGGGTTCCTCGCCGTAAAGAAGAAAGTTTGCTATGTTACCTTTGTTCGCAGTAAGTTAATTTGTCATATCTTCTCAACTCGACGGAGATACCGCGTTCTACAGACGGACAGAAGCAGGGGCACTGTTTCACTAATGTTGCCACTGCTTGGTTCATTGTTAACATTTGCACGTACGACCCCGTTACCTTACCGACAAACTACATAGGGCCCTCACGAGGTGAATCGCAAAACGTGCCTCTTGTCCTGGTCCCTCCTTCTTAAGTTCTGGCGCTGTGCCAGCCTATTTCCATTTGGGGCTGCTTGTGCGGTGGGGGCGACTGGTTCCAACGAGCTGGCGCAGAGCCCAAAAGTGCAAGCGCAGGACAACCCCCGCATGACGCACAATAGCGACTGTGTCTTTATTCGTACTCGAAAAGGGAGTCGTACTGAAGGAATAATTATTCCCATAATCATGTATCGTGCTGTGCCTGTCTACGTGGTGGTTCGCTGTTGGCTCTGTGTAGAAGGGCTGGATATCGAGAGTGATCTTCTGTAAACTTCCTTGACTGGTGAGAACGGGCTGCGCTGCGCCAGTCCCATACCCCTGACCCTGATACGCTGCAGCGTTCGCAGCGAATAAACAACTGTACGTGTTGTTAAGAAGCTCACCTCGGTGACAATAACCGGGATGGAATACAAAGTGAGTAGTAATTTCTTCCACCATATATAATAGATTTGTTGCAGCAGTAGTTGAAACGGATCTAAAAGGTAATTAACGCCATCATTCAACTAAAAATGGTGAGAATTCACTCTTCAAGAGTAACGGCGACAGATCCATAGATATTGACGTGGACGAACTCCGAATTGTCTCCGCAACGTTTCCCGTTTCATCTTGGTCCGTTTCTATTCTCTTGCTTTTGCCTTCATCCATTTCACCGATCCTAAAAATCTGCGACCATTTGAGAACCTTCCAAGGTACAGTCCACCCATCGCCTTAATAAAGTCCAGACATCCACAGAACATCGAAACGAGGATGGAATTCACTTTAAGAAAACAGTTTCAAGAGATCTGGTTGATAGTCCGAAGCTGTCGATTTCTAACTGCTGTTTCATTTCTTCTAGTTCCAATAACAATTTAGAAAACCTGAAGGCATGTGTACTTCCGACAGACAACTTGTCACTTTTTATGAGATTTTGATGTGAACAACAAACTAAATATTGTGGAAAGAGATTTTGGGAGCAGCTGATTCCAAAACCCACTCCATTTTTCATTTTTCATTCAGTTTTTCTCTTGCACAGCAACGACTGATCTCAAACTCGATCTATTTTACAATGGGTGACTCAAGACGGACTTGAATTCAATTCGGCTTTTTTATGTGTACGTATAAAGCTTATATGCGCTGAAAGCACTGCAAAATAATGCTCAAGGCTGTACTGAAACTTCATCAACGCGCTACCAAGAAGTCAAAGATTCAAAACCATTGTGCTCGCTCCCTTCATACTTTTATTCATATTTTTTCGTTCATATTTTCAGATGTGATGCTGCAGTTTTCCTGGGTGAATAAAACACCAAGAAACCAGTGCCTCAAACTTGATTTGATGACTCTTCGAAACAAAAAATGATTCGGGAATTTTGCCTTGAATTGAACACCTGGTATTTTCGTCTTTTGGTAAATGAAACTGGAGTTGTTCCCCTTTCACTTCACTTACTGTGGCACCTTCGATGTGTTCTTTGACAACCTAAATGCAGCGGACTTGCATCTTTATCAAAAAGTAATGCGTACTAGCGAACGAACCTTTTCTGTCTTTTGAATCAGTTCTTCAAAAATTTCGCGCTTGAATGCAATGGTGAGAACGTATCCAGAGGCAAACCTGATTCAGTTGTTTAAAATGTTGGGAATGCATAAGAGGCTGTCTCACAATAGACTACTTCATAGCGATAAAACCTCAGGTTATCGAGAATTACAATCATAAAATCAAGAAATGAACTTTGCTAACAACTATTTCGATATGTGTGGAGTAAGTGGATCCACGTGTCTCCGTCGTAGGATATTACTGTTGGTACAAACTATATTAGAATTCCTTAATTCCCATTGTCCAGCGTTCAGTGATTCTGATGTTTGCTCGTCACGAGTTGCTACCAATAAGTCTCAAGTACAAGGGGTTTGCATTAGCAAATGCTGATATACGGTCATGGCAAAAAGAGGACACTGCTCATTACAACCAACTTTTACATCGCACTGATAAGGTACATGGATGACTACAAGTGCAGCTATCTAAATGCCCTATGGCGTGAGTGAGCTCTCTATAAGGAAAGGAGTCCCGAGAATTGAATCATTCCACTCCTTTAGCACATTCACTTTTATTGCTGTACAGCAA